CAAAATTTTTTTATATCAACTTTCAAATGAAAAAACTAAAAAAAAAAAAAAACTTTTTGTTGAAAAAAATTGAATTATTTTTTGTACAAAATTAAAAATTATGTGTTCATAAAAAAAAACATGATAATGGAATATTGATGTGCAGATCTGTCAAAAAAAAAAAAAATTGATAATGTTATCAATTTTAAAATTAGAAAAAACTGATAATGTTTCCGATTTTATTAGATAGTTGAATCAAACTAACAACTAGAAGGGCAAAAACACTTAATCTCATGCTCTTTTTTTTTATCAGTTAGTGAAACAATTATCTAAAATATTACTATGCAAAATTGATAATGTTTTTAGTTTTAAAAATTAAAAAAAACAGATAATATTCTTAGTTTTACTAAATAGGACTTATTGATTCAAAAAATCTTAAATTAGAGTTGAACTACCATAACATTTGTAAATAGGACTTTTAAATAATTAACTCTTTATTTTCTTATACTTGGGTGTTTGGTCTAATTTATACGTATTTAGGTTAATCTTGGGATTATTGGGCCTCTTTTAGGAAGGTAAAAAAAATAATAATAAATAAATAAATAAAAGTAATGTGACTTAAATAAAATAATAAATCAATAAATTAACCCTTTTTTTTTTTAACGTTTTGAAAAAAACAAAAAAGTCCATAATTCCCAAAAAAAAAAATAAAAAAAGGAAGACGAAAGACTACTTCCCACAATTGGCCTTAAGTTAACGAAGCAAACTTACAGTGAGATAATTTAAACTGGAGTTATTGAATTTTATTTTAAATTTTTACCAATCAATCAATCCTTTGGGGGAGTCGCTCGTGCTATAGTGCCACCAAGATTTTTGTTTCTAGAATGAAAAATTGTTAAAATTAATGTATTATTAATTGATGTATGTTATGTTTACAATGAGTCCTATATATAGAAGATTAGAGGAGGTAGGTATGTAGTAGGTGGAGTAGTAGGTGGAGTAGGTGAAGTGGGTGAAGTAGGTGTAGTGGTAGGTTTTGGTAGGTTTTAACAGCCCCCCGCAAATTCAAGGGGGATAGGAACTAACCAACTTGAGTTTGGAGAGAGTAACAAAACAAAAATAGACTAATACATAAATAAAAGAGGATAGGAGACACTGTATGGTCGTATCAGACCGGTGGTGAAGACACTGGATGGTTGTGTCATAACGTTGTAGAGGACACTGGATGGTTGTGTCATAACGATGTAGAGGACATTGGATGGGTGTGTCATAACGTTGTAGAGGACACTGGATGGTTGTGTCATAACGTTGTAGAGGACACTGGATGGTTGTGGCAGACCGTTGTAGCAGATAAAGTCTGGACAGTTGACGAGGTCACACTGGACTGATGGAGAAGCTAACCGGAATCAAATGTTGGGACAGTTTATGGGGTCATATCGGACCGTTGGAAAATACACTGTATGATGGTGTATATAGGCTGCCCAAATATATATATACATGGATATAGATATCGAGCCCTCAAAAGTCGTGTCCTCAAAAGGCGCGCCCACTTCATCAAAAGTTGTGCCCGACAGAAAGTGTCGAGCCATCAAAAGGTGAGTCGGAGACGCGGCGAGGCACGTGAGCGACAGAGCGGCGTGTCGGCCGCGTCGTCAGTGTCGATATAAACCAATGCGGAGGCTGTGGAAACCAAACCAAGCTGAAACCTCTGAACATTGTCATTCTGAAACACTCTGTAAATACTCTGGATCCAACCCTTCTCTGAAAAACTCTGCGTTTTCGGAGAGAGAAACTTTGTAACACCTTGTAGCCCAGAAAAATGGCCTCGTCTTCCCGTGGTCTGCTCACTCTCTTTCCAGACCTCAACGAGTCAACAAGAGAGATAACTGGTGCGGTGGCCCGTGAACCTCAACCAAACACCTCTGGTTTTGTGCCGTTGAACTTTCCGATGCGGTCGGTGGAGCAAAAAATGACAGTGCAAACGGATATTGAGGCCAATCAGTATACATTGAAGTCATGTGTGGAGACCATGACGGCGGTCACAAACTTGTCGCACCGGTTTCAGAGTAGGACAAATGAGGTGCAGTAGTTAAACGCCCAGCTGGCTCTGCTCCAGCGCATGTATAAGGATGCGCGAGCAGAGATAAGTGTGCTAAAGGCGGAATACAAGGAGCTGAAGCGGAAGGCCACCGTGATGTTCCGATTTGGAGGGCCGCCATATGCTGCAGTGGAGGAGCAGGAGGGAGTGAACGTACTCGGCGGCGCGGGAAACACGGAGGCAGCACCGTCAAGGGCCGCTCAGGACAGAGGTAAGAAGAAGAGACCGGCGGCAGAGTAGAGAAGAAAAATCCCACTGTTCCGATTTGTGTTGGTTTTTTGTTTTTTTTGTTTTTGTTTTTTTGTTTTTTTTGTTTTTTTGTTTTTTTTTTGTGTGGTGTAAAATGGTGATCGGGGTGAGCCCCTGATATGAATAAAACAAGTGTGTTTTGCAAACTCGAATGGGAGGTGTGGTAAGGCAGAAAAATTAACTGGAAGGAAGGTTTTTTTTTTTTTTTTTTGCATTGTTATAATAAGAATAAGAATAGGATCCAAGGCATGGACAGCATCATTATGGCAAGTGGAGTTGGTTGAAATATTAAAAAAAAAAATGGGTGGAAATATTAAAAAAGATGGGACCACGGGAAGAAAGATGCCCAAGTGGGTTGAAATATTAAAAAAAAAATGGTGGGTTGGAAAGTAGAAATAGGAGAGAGAGAATGAGTGGGGGGATTGGGAGAGTGGGGATGCTTTCAACATAATCAATTATCAGTCCATTGAATAAAAATAAAAAGAAAGACGTTGATGGTGGAGACAAGTTTGGTGGGATTTGTGGGAAAGAAGAATAATTTATTGAGGAGAACCATATCGTTAACCAAAGGTGGGAATTTAAATAATAGTGCATCATTGCATACTGAAAAGAAGGTGGCACCGAGACCAGCTGATAAAACACCCACTCAAATGACAACACTCTCGCTTCATTACCGCTACATTTGAAACAAAACATATTTTTAGTCATTTCACTTTCATCAAAATCTCATGGTTTTTCTATTTTTAATTTCGTTAACCTCATTAACAGTTAATTGATAGAAAGATGACATCTAAACTTATCTAGAATATGAGTTTATTATCACAATTAAAAATAAAATGATTAAAATAAAATTTTGATAAAAATATAAGAATGTTAAGCGTGATTAAGGCCCTACTAGGAGAAGTGGCAATAAGAGACTTGCTTTTCTTGTTAATGCCTTTGTGTGTAAGCCGAGCAAACAAATAAAAAACTATCATTTAGTGAGAAGTTGGTAATTATTTATTATAAGATTAAAATTTCTTGAGGTGCAATTTTTACGGAATTGGAAATGCTGTCGTGTAGTCCTCGCAATAGTAATTATTGTGCAGTGAAATGAACATATTTCGGAGCTTATTTTGATAATCCGAACCGTTCATATTTTAGAATACATCAAGTAAAACATACATGTAAAAAATCAAGTTAATCGGATATCATTTATCCATTCATCTACTGACATTTGTATCTACAAAATAAATAATAATTGTATAATTGTGCTTTAAAATATTAAAATAAATATAAATGTGAGTGGATGAATGGGCAAACGATATCTGATTAACTTGATTTTTTGTAGGTATGTTCTGTTTGATGTATTCTAAAATGTGAACGTTTTGGATTATCAAAATAGGACTTGAAATAATAATTGTATAATTGTGCTTTAAAATATCAAAATAAATACAAATATGAGTGGATGAATGAGTAAATAATATTTGATTAAGGTGATTTTTTGTAGACATGTTCTGGTTGATGTATTCTAAAATGTAAACGTTTTGAATTATCAAAATAAGACTCGAAATGAGCCCATTTTACCACACAATAATTATTGTTGCGCGGGCTGCACAACAGCATCCCCAATTCCAATTTTTACTATATATATATATATATATATCATATGGAAATAATTACACTTTTATACATTTTTTTTAATTGTTTTTGATCCCTTAAAATAAAAAGCAATGTTGGAAGAGCATTAAAAAGGTGGATGGCTTGTGCATCTGATTTGGGGAAATCATGATAGGTGAAACCATGGCACGGGCATTAATTAGATGGATGGATGGCTTCTCCGTAAGTTTTTGAGATATTGGGTTTTTTGTTTTTTTGTTTTTCGTATTATATTACATTTAGTGAATTTTTTTTCGTATTTTAATTAATTTTTTAGATATCTCTAATCTAAATGATGTTAAAAAATAAAATATTTGTGAAGAAATTTTAAAAAATAATAATAATAAATACATAAAAATGTAAAAATTTATTGAATTTTTAATTATTTTTGTATTTAATGAATTTTTAAAAGATTTCTTGACAAATTTTATATTTTTTTAAATGTATCAAGATTAAAAAATGAAATTGTAAATTGTGAATAGGATCAAATGGAATACAAGTTCTAACTATGAGATTTATGAGTAAAAACTTTTATTTGTAATCAATCACAATTTGTGTTTTGTTCATATTTTGAAAAAACTTACTTAAAATGTATAATATGGTTGTAATTTTTTTACCGATCATGGTTTGTAGGAGAGCTGATATTAATTTTCATTCATTTAAAATATTATGAATCACAATTATGAGTGGGCAATACATTTTTTAAATATAATACCTATTATTTTAAATAAATCAAAATTTGTGTGTTGTTCATATTTTGAGAAAACTCACTTGAAATGTGTAAAAATATGTTTATAGATTTTTTATCAAATATTTCATATGACCACATCGAATTAATTAAAATTATATATATATTAAAAAAATCTTGATGTCAATCAGTTATTTTTTGTTTAGCATTATACAGTTTTTTTTTTTTTTAATTGAGAAAAATTGAATCTGAATTTTTAAAATTAAATATTAGTATGAATAATTTCTTTGATGTAATTCATCAAAAACAACATTATGAAAGAATAAATGAATGAACCCATGCTGCCACTGAAACAAAGAAACTAAAAACTTTTCATAATATTGGCACACAAATTACAAACTGGTCTCAATTATTTACCCGATAGCAATCAATATATATGAAGATCGATACAATAAATAGTTATCCCGATATTATTACTTAGTTTTTTTACATACAATAACAGAATTCCGATAATCCCCAATGCAAATATTGAAATAGTGCCTTCTTCTTCAAGTTGCCAGATTGAAGTTTATTATTTTCTCAGACATTTTATGGCGGTCCAACCGGACGTGGATTTCCTCCCCATGGATCGGGATATGCGGGAGGCCCTCCAATATATTGAAGAAGCTTACGACCTGTAAAATAAAAACCAATAAATTACTGATAATAAAAACAATAACAACTAAATACAAACAACAGAATTGTATTTTTAAACATGAAAAAATATACAGATACTAAATAAAAGCATTTTTTTACGAACCCAGGTTTAAAGGTCCTCCTGTTACAACTGCTGCCTTGGAGACAGAGGAAAGGAACAAGATCGCTGTGAGAAAAGCCGCCATGAACAGTAGGACTCGCGAGTTCTTAGACAAACCCATTTTTTGTTTGTTGCGTTACAACTCGTTAGAGTGATTGATGAGAGCAGCAACACTGTGGATACCACACCAGCTATTTATAGATTAAAAAACAACAAACTTAGGTTAAATTACAAATGCATCTCTTAAGATTTGTTTAGAATACAAAAATGTTTCTTGCAGTTTTAAAAATTATAAATATCCCTTGGTTTGAAATTTTCATAACAGAATTAACTGAAAAAATAAAATTTATAACTATGCTCTTATACAACAATAAAATGACTTAAATTATTAATTAAAATATATTTTTAATATCATTAAAAATTATTAATTGACTTCATGATTTATTAATAAAATAAAACGTTTGCTATGCAATTAGAAACTAGAAGCGACGTGATATAAGTTTTAGAACCATATGAAATAATTTGTATATCAAGTAAATCTCAAAAATATATTTATAATTTACACAAAAATTTAACAGTAAGTTTTAGAACCATATGAAATAATTTGTATATCAAGTAAATCTCAAAAATATATTTATAATTTACACAAAAATTTAACAGTAGTGAGCAATTATTCCGTGTTTCATACTCAAATACTCCAATAGTTAGTCAAACTCAAAGTATTGCAAAGGCATTTTTTGATAGGTTATAGGAGCAATGCTGCATCTATTTAAATATTTTTAATAACAATCTTATTAAAAATATATATCTAGATATCATTATTTTTTTTGATAATCAATCACACTAGGCCTTTTTATATTTTTAATAAGATTGTTAGTATATATAAAATTATTCATGTTATAGTGACAATGTATAAATATATATATATATATATTTTCCTTGAATCACTCTAATTGTGAGAATCAAATTTTACATCAGTATTGTTTAACTAATTTATGCATGCTGCACTCTGTGCCAACCAAATGAATAATTATCCTGTCTTTCAAGAATTTCACTGTGTACCCAACTAATAGTAAGAGATTAAATGAATATGTGGGCCTAATAGCAAGGAGATGATGAACAAATTGCAACATTTTATTGGTTGGACACATGAACACATGATTTTCTTAACCTATTAAATATTTTTTTGCAAATAAACATTTTATATCTTTACTGATATTTTTATTTTTTTAATCTTCATTTTTAAAAGATGAATAAATTGTTACTATTTGTGTATTTTAACTTCTATGATTTTGATGTGTAAATAGAATTTTATGTAGTTTTAGAATGGAAGTTGTGAACTTTGGTAGAGAAAAACAATATTGGGTTTTTACAGAAAATTGGTTGTGCAAAAAATAATTTTATTAAATTTTGAGTCAAATTGGACATAAACAAAATTTGATTTTGTCATTTCTTGACAATGAATTTTTGACTTACCATTGGAAAATATTTGTGAAATTTCATTTTTTTTACGACAATTGTTTTGTTTGTTTACGACAATTGTTTTGGCAAGATCATTAGAGTCGCTTTTACATTTTTGGAAAAATTATAAATATATCTTTTAAAATTTTATTAAAATACGAATCACCTTCTATGATTATGAAAATAACATTCTATCCCCTGATGTTTTCAATTTCATAATAAATCGACCCTTTTACTAATAAATTATCAAGTCAATTAATAGTTTTACATAATGTTAGAAATATGTTTCAATTAATAATTTAGATAATTTTATTATTATATAGAAGAGTAATTATAATTTTTTTTTGATTAATTACGTTTTGTTAAATAAAATTTTTTAATAAAAAAATATTTATAATTTTTTAAATTATAAAAAATAATCTATATTTTAAATAAATTCGAAGAAACGTATATGTAATTCACCTTTTTTCCATCTAGCTTACCATTCTCAACGATAATTTTCCAATCCAATTATCAACATTTCTCTTTCCTAATATTTGACTTTTCAACGCGTTTGGTTCACTGAGAATTTTCAACAAAATTGAAAATAACTGACATGACAAAGCGGTCAAATGAAGATCAAATAGGCAACATCCATTACCCCCACAAGAATGTGAAATATATTATATATATTTACTAATTAATATATTAATTAATAATATAATATAATTTAAAATTTAAAAAGTAGATTGATCTATATACTTGGGTAATTAACGTATCAATTAAAAAGTAGATTGATCTATATACTTGAAATAAATATTTCAAATAAAAAATATTTAAATCAAATTAATTTTGAGTGTAACTCTATCTTAAATTACACAATATATTTTTAAAAGTATCTCTAATTTACAAAGAGAGTTGTTGAGAGTAGTGGTACTCACCACAAGTCACCTTTTGACAATCTTAAATTTATTAATTTGTTTCTTTTGGTCAAGCTTTATATGTAGGTTATTTATAAAAAAATTAATAAAATTAAATAAGCAAAGTCATATTATTTCATTATGTTTGTGTCAAAGAATAGACAGTATAATTTTAAAAATAAAATATTTATTTTTTTAAAACATATAATAAAATATTATGATTATTAGACAAAAGTCAATTTTGACTAGTAAACAATTCCATGGTGTTCTTGCATGAAAAAACTTTGGAGACAAAAAGTCTACAAAATTTAATTGTTGTTGGACAGTTGCGGTGCTTTCTATTTCACAGGGACACGTATAAGTTGGCTTGATTACTTGCCTGCTTGACTTGTCAACTACCAGGAAAAATATCTCGTTTAAGAATAAATTATTTTAATAATATTTTAATTTCTTAAATTATACCGTATATTTTTGAAAGTATCTCTAATCTACAAAGAGAGTTGTTGAGAGTAGTGGTACTCACCACAAGTCACTTTTTGACCATCTTAAATTTATTTATTTATTTCTTTTGATCAGACTTTATAGGTAGGTTATTCATAAAAAAAAATAATAATAAAATTAAATTGATTAAATAAGCAAAGTCATATTATTTCATTATGTTTGTGTCAAAAAATAGACATTAAGTATAATTTTATAAATAAAACATTTATTTTTTTTAAAATATATAATAAAATCATATTATGATTATTAGACAAAAATCAATTTTGACTAGTAAATAATTCTATGGTGTTCTTGCATGAAAATTTTTTGGAGAGAAAAGTCTACAAAATTTAATTGTTGTTGGACAGTTGTGGTGCTTTCTTTTTCACGGGACACATATAAGTGTGCGGGGAATTTCACATTGGTCTGTGAGGGATTACTTTTCCACCTTATAAGCAGGCTGGCTCCTCTTACCTTGCATAATAAAAAAAAAAAAAAAAGCATAGATGGGGACAGATCTGACCTCTGTAGATCACAAATTTTTCAACAACAAAAAACTACTGAACAATGTTGAGGCAATGATCTGATTCTGAATGTGAGAAAACCATAAATTCAAATTAGAATTCCAGAATTTGATCCACAAACAATGAATACAAGCAGACAATGAAATTCAAATCTAGGTTGCAACACTAGAGAAATTAATTCTAAATGTAGAAAAAAATCATTTCAGATTCAAACTCTCTAGCAGTCCTATGGCAGCAAAAATCAACACCAGCCAAAAGTCACACATAGCCTTGTTCTTATCAACTAGACCAACTTGTATTACAAAAGCTTTTGTAAGATAATTTGCTTCCAAAAAATGAAAAAATGGATCATTATCCACATCCATACTAGATCTACCCATCAGGCTCCCTAGCTAAGAAGACACTGTTCACCACCCCATAATTTCCACTTACAAATGGTTGGTGCTCATCATGCCGCCATTCTCCATCAACAAAAAACTTGTACTGCACGGAAATGAAAACAACATATCTAAACATCAGATACTAGAGATAGAAGTACACTTTTAGGATTGTTGATGTAGATGAACTCATCTCTTTGACTAAACACTGAATTTCATGATCAATTTGTTAATCTTGCACAATATTTCTGTGAATATCATGTCCGTTATATACAATTTTGAAAGAATTAAAATGTATAAAATGCATGCACCATTGTGCAACTATAGGATGCATGTTTACTTTCTTCAACTTGTATAATCTTCATATAACACAACAATATGGTGTCTCATTGAGATTTATATGTATTAGCTGCCTGTGTTATAGCAAACATACAAAGCCTTTTAGCTAATTTATAGTCTTTATTATTTGAAACAACAAATCACCCTCTTTAGCGGACAAATTGTCCATGGATCCATTTTTAGGAACATAAAGTGGCTCCAATTTCTGCTAAGCATGGGGACCCACCAATACTGATATATATTAAAGTATAAAACATTTTAAGAAGAAGAAGGTGTACAATCCAAGTTAAAATTCACAAAACAGATCACCAAGCTCTTTCAACAGTGCAAGCTTCTAAGATTACAGTAGAAAGTAGAAAATGAAGAAGAAAAAAAAGAAATTCAAACAAATCAAATATACCTCAACTTTCCCAAATCTTCTTCTAGACATCTCACATGCTCAGAAGCCTCTTCTTGGGCCTTTTTTGTAGCTTCCTGTAATGAAATATTAAAAAATAGGTTAAAAACACCCAAGTAAAATAGAAGTAGACACGACCATCTATTCATAAGGCTTTTTTTTCAAATAGGTCTTCCCTACCATCAGCTGCAAGAACCAAGGAGTAAGTTGAATTGGCTGATGCAAGGAAATAACCAAAAACAAAATAAAGCCTATATCCATATAATGCCACCCCCAATCATCAGGAACCCCCAATGAGGGACAGATTTGAGAAAAATAATGCCTTCAGAAAACAAATGATGATGAAGAAATAAAAATCATGTATTCAGCACGCTGATCCACTTGCCCATATCCATGTAATAAAACAAGCAATTGAGGAGGCATGTAGGAGAGGACTGGTCTGTTTTATTTTTTTGAAAAATAATTTGCAAATAGAAAATATATTTTAAAAATTATAAGCCACTTTAATGAATTTTTTCATCTGGAATGAGTGAACACATTTTTTTACTTGAAACTAATAAACACTTGGGCCACATCATTTTAAATGAATTTTTTGCACAAATCCCGACAAGATAGCAAAAAGCCACATAAATTTAGGCTTCAAGAGACCTTGTCCAGATCCTCCCTTCTTCCTCCCAGTCCCAAACTAGCCACTCAGCCACCTCTCTTAACACATGACTCAACTTTCTGGTGTTGTAAAGAGAGACAGGAGGCACATGGAAGTAATACATTTTGTTACAAACACGTAAACTAAATACAGAACACACATAAATGAATCACATTTTACAAAAATTGTAACTTAGTTCTTAAAAATCTTGACCATTCATATCCATTGTGTCCGGTTCTCTAATCGATTCTACCTTCCTAGACTTGTTCAGAAAAGATCCCATGGAAAAAGCTGATATTGCTGTCCAGGCCATCCCATCCAAGTTCCTAGCATCCAATATAAAGATGGCAAACAATCCATGTTCCTAGCATCCAATATAAAGATGGCTAACAATGTGCAGCAGCAAATTCAAATATAAAGATGGCAAACAATCCATGTTCCTAGCATCCAATATAAAGATGGCAAACAATCCATGTTCCTAGCATCCAATATAAAGATGGCAAACAATCCATGTTCCTAGCATCCAATATAAAGATGGCAAACAATCCATGTTCCTAGCACAAAAAAAAAAAAAAGAAATATTTTAAGCCACAATGCTACGTACACAAGAAGGGTTCCATCAGGTAGAAGCCTTTCTCTTCCCGACCTTTCTGAAAAGAAAAGATATATATGATCCGTCATTATAATATTCCTGTTACCACTATATCCATCATTAAATATAACGATTATATGCATATAGAACTCATTTGACTCGACCTTGAAACTTCTGGTCAAGATCGTAACATTAAACAGAGTCATTCACATTAATGTAAACACCAAAAACAAAACAAACAAAAAAAACCCACAAAGATGCAACTACAACCACCAAAATGTTACACAAACTTAGCAAACATGTCGTCAACTGGCTTCAACGCCTCCTTTGGGACCCTGATTGCTGCCCCCTTACCCTTGGCAGCCTTCATTGTTACAATTGAATGCCTTAAAAAGTAAAGCAGTCTTAGATTAAAACTGAAAATCTACACAGTAATTTGTTTTAAGACCAATTTAGATCCCAAAAAAGTTAAACAAGACAAATATTCATGATAAAGCCATACAGGTTAACACAACACACACAAACATAGAGATTAATATTAACCGTAAAAAGACAAAATCAAGCATTTCTTAAAAAAAAAATGAAATAGAAAAACTAACAAACAAACAAAATAAGGAATTAAATCGATCAAAATAATCACAGAGAAACAGAACAGATCAAAAACGAATAATTAAAGTGATTTATTCTAGAAAAATTATTCCAGCAAACTGTTTGTCAGTAATTAAACAGACAGAATCACAGATTTGAAGCTCAAATAACAAACAATCAACTATCAAATTAAACTTCATAAACACAATCATATACATAGATACACATATATATATATATATATATATATGCAATTTGTATAGATCAAAAAGAAAAACAAACCTCTGATCGAAGAAGACGAAGAGTTCCAAATCCACGGAGATGAATCATGGAGTTGTGCTCAAAATCGAACTTCGAAATCACAATCCTGAGATGAATCACCGACCTGTAGAAGAATCGAAGAAGAATCACTAAGAGAGTGAAGAAGAATTGAGAGCCCTAAGGGCTTAAGACCTATATAGAGCCCTAAACAAAAGTATTCACTAAGCAAAACATTGATCCAAAACAGGGATAAATCACAAACAGAACAACTAACCTTTGATCGAAGATATAAATCACGGAGCTGTGCTCAAAATCAAACTTCGAAATCGCAATCCCGAAATGAATCACCAAACTGAAGAAGATTCGAAGAAGAATCACTGAGGAAGAGACTGAGAAGAATCGATCCTCTGAGAGAAAGAGATTTGGAGAAACAGATTCGATTCTCTGAGAGAGAGAGAGCAAGAGAGTGAGTGAGACAGGATTTGATCGTCTTGACGGCAGTGCTGAAGATAGGGGTTTCAAAATAAAGGTTTGGAGAGACAAAAGAGGGTGGAAAGAGAAACCAGATTTGGAGGCGCTTTTTAAACGTCTTCCATTCACAAAACGGTACCGTTTTAATTTATAACAAATGCGACGTTTAAAAAACGTCGTTAATTATTAGAAAAGGTGACGTTTACTAAAATGCCGTTAATTAAACGCCGTTAAATCCTTAATTTCCTGTAGTGATTTCTGTGTACATTATTATTTATCATAAAATTTTAAATATATATATATCATTTTATGTATAAAATGACCCTCTAGTATAAAAAATATATGTTATTTTTCTTTCATTTAAAAAAAAAAACTTATTCATCCTATTTGAAATTACTTCTGTGATATTTAATTTTTTTTAATGTATATATAATTCATATATCATATATACATACATATGTGTTTGTATATAAAGTGAAATTTTTTTTTTTTTTCACTCCTCCAGTAATGAAATCCTAATTTCGTCCCTGACAATGTGCCCCTTTAACAAGGTGTATATCGTATGTCTTTCATAATTTTTTCATAAAATTTCATAACTTAAACCTAAAATGTCTACTTTTTCACGATAAAAGTTATAACTTTTTTTCATTGAAAATATCATAACAAAATCTCAAAATGTCATAACAAAAATCACAAAATGTCATAACATTATTATTCTTGATTTAGGATGCACATCCTAAATTCACTATTTATAACTTTACTACAAAATATCATAACACATATCACAAACAATCATAACGTTTATCATAAAAAAATTATAATTTTTTTATAATATGCACCGTTTAAAAGAGTGCATAGCATAAATTTATCTCCTAAAGAAATGATCTATTTGGTCATAACGGTGAGAAGCAACAAGACGTTAACATGATACAAATTGTATATAGAGTTTGCAGTTTGTAACTTAAAAGCTAATTATTTTTGGATATGAATTTGTTGGCTGCATATTTTGTACAAGTCAGTTACAATTTGACGCGTGGCAAAGTAAGGGTAATATGGGGAGACCATTCAAGTCTTCAATCCTGATCGTACACGTAACAGTTGATATTGGTTGTTATGAGATCTGAGTAGCAGTGGATCAACAATGAAATGCAAGGTGATGTGGCATCAGTGGTTATTCTTATTTAAATTCAAATTTAGGAGGGAAGCTTAACTGCAAATGATGGCATAGTGGAGTTAATCTTGAGGCTACATAATCAGCGATCATGGGGGAGCAGTTTGACGGTTGGAAATACAGTTTGACTATCATTTTTGAGCAGTATAAATAGCAGAGAAGGCCCTGAAAAAAGCCCCCCGGACTCAGATATAAAAAATCAGCCTTATTTTACTTTACTTTTACATACCTTGTTCTTTACATTCCAGTACTTCAAATTCTGCACTGCATTTTCATTCATAGGAGTAGTTTCAAATAGATTGTCGCTTCGAATCATTGTAAGTTTTTCATTCTAGTGAAATGTTTCAAATTTTCTTTAGTTGATTGGTATTCTGTTTAAATTCTCCTAAATCAAGCCACCAGTAAAAGTCCTCTTCATTGAGGCTGAGAGAACTAAAACACAGTCGTCTGATAATTGATTGGCAATTAAATTTCTGTAAGGACTAAATTGATCCTTACTGGCACGCTCGCAATCATAATAATAACCTTTGAAAGCCAAAAAGCCAACATATATTTTTGGCACGCCTAGTGGGACGTTAAGTGTAATAAATGGAAAATGAATTGGATTTGTCTATTTCAAATAGCCTAGATGAAATTTGTTGGCGTAAATAAGAAATTTTGGATCTTCAAGAAGAGATCCATTTTCTTGATGAAATAAATTTTCATTTCTTACAATATTATTTGGTGGAAGAAAAAAGACACCATTTAATTGGAGAAATTCATTAACTTGATATGGAAATTCGCCAATGGAATGATGAGTTATCAACTCTCACTACCAAGTCTTTAACTGAGGCCTTAATGGCCGGAATTGGTGAATTTTTTGAGAATTTTCCCATGGTTAAAAATAGCAAAAGCAAAGAGTTGATTTTATCAATGGCTCGGGGGGTTCAAGAGTTCGTTTTTAAAGAGCCAAATTAAGAAATTAACAAAACGAAAGAGCACGTTCTTGAGCCAAATTTGGCTAAGACTGATGTTTCATACATGGCTCGGGGGGTTCAAGAGTCCATTTTTAAAGAGCCAAATTATGAAATTAACATAACGAAAGAGCATGTTCTTGAGCCAAATTTGGCTAAGAATGATGTTCCATGCATCACTTGGGGGGTCTCAAAACCAATTTTTAGAGAGTCATGTCATGAAAATAATATATCTATGGGTGATTTTCATAAGCCATTAATGACTAACATGAAAAAACAACCCACTTTGCCAAATAATTATGAAAATCTATTCGGCAAAAGTCATGTTTTTAAAACAAACATGGTCAAGAATAATGAACAAGCCACTGTTCATGAATTCAAAATTTTTGACATTTTTCAAAATGTCAAAAAGTATGAATTTTCATGGTCACATTATACCATGACTTTTGGTGTTCAAAATCCTTTTTGGATTTGTCGTTCACATCAAAATATAATTATGATGATGTGGCTAATAAAATTAACAAATTGTTCTTATGAGTTCGAAGCACTAAGAACAAGGGATGGCCATTTAAAATGCATGAACTTGGCTAGAAAAAGGCTGGTTGAGAATTATCTTTTCAAATTGATGGCCAGTTGTTTGTATGTACACAATAAAAGCATCGAAGATACATTCGAAGCATCAAGAGTTGTTTCGAAGGTTGATTACTTCACCTTCAAAGCTATATAAAGCTTTGAAGATACATTTGAAACATCAAGAATTGTTTTGAAGGTTGATTACTTCACCTTCGAAACTGTATAAAGCTTTGAAAACTTTCGAAATGTGTACATCTCTTCAAATATATGTAAAATGACAATTAATTAGTTGTCGAATAATGCTTGTTTTTGGCATGATAAGTTGGTTTGAAGAACAACAGTTTTGGTGTCTTCGAAGAATCAATAATTGGTTCGAAGCACAAAATTAATATTTTCATTAATTATGTATGAACCAGAACATACAAAATGTGAATAACTACAATGTTGGCCAAAAGCTGCTTCGAAGGCTCTTTTGCCATAATTTTGTAAGCTCCGAAGCACTCCATCTTGCATTAACAGCTTCGAAGAAACAATAATGGTGGTTGTGAACCTTCGAAACTTTGCCGAGTATTTCTAAGGATGTAATTTGTCCTTTGTCGGCACTTTCAACCTTCGAAAGATGATTTTGGTCCTTTGTACCACTTTCGAAGCTTGTTACTAGTCCGTAATAGCTAGCATTCGAGACATCTCGTCATAATTTCATACTTATTCGAAACACTTCATTGGTGCTATTATATCATTCGAAGCACTTTGTTGAGTAGCACCATAAATTTGCAATTTTTATTGTTATTTATTATTTATATAATTGCAGGACACGTGGCATCCTCTTATTCATTTGGAAGTTAAAAGAAGTTATAGAGATAATGGAGAATATGAATGACAAAGTGGATGAGTGGGAGGACAAAGTGCATGAGTGGGAGGACAAAGTGCATGAGTGGAAGGACACATGGCAAGACAAGAATGAATATGGAAGAAATGGGTAGTTACTAAGTAATTATTGCTGTATTTTTTCTTCTATAAATAGCCATTAATGGCTACATTGTAAAATCTAGAATTCATAATTAAAGACAATTGATTTCAATATTTCTTGTCATTTTCCTTATCTTAGGAGTAGTTTAACATAGATTTATATTTCGAAGCATTTATTTTCAACATTTCCATTTCGATGCATTTTATGCACTTCCTTTTCGAAGCATAGGAGTAGAGGTAAGTAATTATTACTTTGATTGTTCACTCAATCGTCTTTCTCCGTCTCCCTCTTTCTTCTTTTACTTTTTCTTTTCTCTACACTTGGCAAATTTGAAGTCCTCTTCGTTGAGGCAAAAGAACCGTCAACACAATCGCTTGATAATTGACTTGAATTTAATCTGTAAAGATTTTTCAATCCTTGTTGGCATGCTCGCAATCACAATAATAACCTTCGAAAGCCAAAAAGCCAACATATATTTTTGGCACGCCCAGTGGGACTCATTTAAAATGGCTAGACGTAGGAGACAATGAGAAAATGAACGCTTGGAAGAAGGCGTGGAAGGAGAGGTAGAGATACCTAATCCAGAGGATAATGTGATAACACATCTTGTAGAAACTCCTATTTTATCGGAACCTATGGTCGAACAGACCAGTACTTCAGAACAAATACCATTTGTTCGTAATGTTGGACGAGATCAAGGAATTGGACCATCCACTGTCCCATCTACTCAGCCAGTGAATCCATGGGGTGGCTTAATAGATGCAATGGGACAGCAATTAATGAACACAATGGAAAGGTGGGCAACATCCTTTTTGGATCGAATGAATAACCACCAACTAACAAACGTAAGACACATGGGGGAAATTTCGAATGTCCCTCAGCAAAGATTGGCTAGAGATAAACAGCCTATGCAAGTTAATGGACATTCTAATGGACAAACTAGTAATCAGAACCATGAAAGACCATCACCTCAGTCTTGGTACGAACCTGTTCCAAGGCCCGTTGTAGGTCAAAATGTCTCAGTACTTAACAGTGAAGCCATGCAATTTGGTGGAACTGGCCCAGTACAAGGAAATGGTATAAGAATGGTTCCGAATCCCATGTTCGAAGCCATACCTGGCACAAGGGGGTTCACTAATCCCTTGTTCCAATTTATACCCAGGGGTTTAGAGGGTTTTCCTACAAATGGAAGAGACACAACACCAGTTTCAGCACCTTTCGCAGGTCTTTTCGTAGGACAAATTCAAAGGGGTAACCCACACCCCCAACAGCAACCTGCACCACAGGAACAACCAGTCTCAAATATACCACCTTATGGACCAAGAGGACCACAAGCACAAGTTTGTCCACCAAATCCTGTGTTTGTTCCTCCGGCGGTGATTCAGCAGGCACAAAATATGGTCCCTAGGGACCAAATTGCTGACATCATTAGGGAGATGTGTGGACCAATGGCTCAGGGGGTCCAGACTCTTGTATACAGAAAACCCTACCCAGAATGGATAAATAAGGTACATGAATACCTAAGAGGTTTCAAGATACCAGATGGAAACCAGTCAACAGTAGAGCATATCGCTAGGTTCG